ACAGTGAAGTCAAGGCTAGCGGTATTGCTTGTGAACCAAATAAGTAACTTTAAAAGAGCACTTCATGATGGATTACTTATTTATTTAAATAACTTCCAACAATCAAAAACATTAAAATGCAAAGAAATTTGAGTTTACTCTCTAACTGGAACTCCATAATTTATTCATCAACAAATAATTGTTAATAATGGTAACATGATTATAATGTGTGTCAATTTGTTTAATCACTAAGCCATCCTATAATGCTAATGTGTTTTTAAAGGCAAAGCAATTCATCTTAAAATTGATTACTAGTTAATGACATCTATAATTAGGGGTTAGGGGGAATAAACATTCTTATTCTCGAAAGCCTTAGGTAGTAAACCAAGAGCCTTAGCTTGAAAGGTCTTTAGTTTTCTGGGAAAAAGGTATTTCAAGCTGCTGCTTCTTTGAATGGGTATGCAGTTTTCTGCTATTGAACTCATGAGGCTTTTTAATGTGGGGGCCTCTTGAGTTTCTTTTGATTCTGGTTCATACCATATGGAACAATGACATTCTTGGTAACATTTGGCAATAACCAACTCTTGGGAGAAATTTAGTTTTAAAAACCCTTCAGGGTGGGTTTTTATAGGACTGTGTCTCTACCAGGAACAATTTTGCCCCACCCCAGGTGATATTTGGCAAAGTCTAGTCATGTTTTTGATCACCAGGATGCAAAAGGGGGTGCTCCTGGCATCTCATTGGTAAACACTAGGGATGCCGCTCAACATTCTACAATGCACAGGACACTCCTTACAACAAAGAATGATTTGGTCCAAAATGTGAATAGTGCTGCCATGGAGAAACTCTGATAGAGGATGCTGAGAATGACAAGGGTCTCTGTGCTTTTCTCAAAGATGGTATGGGCCTCGTGAATCAACGCTGTTATAGAAACAGGATTACAAATGAACGACAGCTGATGTGTGGGAGCATCAGCTCTTAATGGCCTCTCAGGGTCTCTTCTTAAAGCAGGGCACACTCAGAGATGCTTACTGACTGAATTCCTGTTTTGTTAAAACTCAATTGTTTAGACCTTTTCTTTTTCTTAACTTGTTTGAAAAGGTCAACATATATATATATTTTATATATATATATAAAATATATAAAAATAAATATATATTATATATTATATAATTAATTATAAATATATATTATATGTTATATAATATATAATTATAAATATATATTATATGTTATATAATATATAATTATGAATATTATATATTTTGTTTAACTTTTAGGAAAATTTCTCTACAAATTTTCCTTTCTTCCCTCTTTTTTTAAAAAAAATTCCTCATGGAGCATCAATGTTCACCATGTTCCATTGTGCTATAGATACAAAGAAAGCAGGCTGATCGGTAGGAAACTTTTCCAAACGCAATCACAATAGCCCTCCAAAGAAAAATGTCTCTTCAGCCATTTAAAATGTTTTTGAGAACTGAACAAAGTGAACTACGCTGTATGATGAATTTGAGCTTCCATTGGCTAACCCTCTGTTTAGGAGAGAGAAGTGAAGAGCTAAGTCATGCCGCGTGGAGCCAAGCTTGAGTTAAGCAAAGGGAGGTTTGATTTTTTGTTTGTTTGTAATTTTCTGTGCTATCTTTTTGTTTGTTTGTTTGTTTTGTTTTGTTTTGAGACGGAGTCTCGCCCTGTCACCCAGGCTGTAGTGCGGTAGCATGATCTCGACTCACTGCAACGTCTGTCCCCCAGGTTTAAGCGATTCTTCAGCTTCAGCCTCCCAAGTAGCTGGGATTACAGGCACCTGCCACCATGCCCAGCTAATTTTTATATTTTTAGTAGAGATGGGGTTTTACCACGTTGGCCAGGCTGTTCTTGAATTCCTGACCTCATGATCCACCTGCCTCAGCCTCCCAAAGTGCTGCGATTACAGGCAAGAGCCACCACGCCCAGCCGGTTAAGCAAAGAAAGGTTTGATTTTGAATCATTTTGGTTGCACCACTTCCCTCTGGGACCTTCAAAACACTGTATCAAAGAGATGAAACTTGATAAGAAAACGTTCATATAACACTTGGTTTTTTGAAGGAAGTGTCATGGAGATGGAAGCTGTATCATTACTCACATTAGACTCTGTGCAGTCATAAAACAGAGAGGAACATGCTGAGCAGAGTGCGTTGTGATGACTTCATCTTTTTCTGAGCTAATAGCTGTTAGTAGCTGACATCGGTCCGTATAGAGAACCTGCTACATAGCTCATATTACCAGCCTGATGATTTTGTTGGGTTCCTTTTTTTGTCATTGTCAGTATTCAATATAACTTCTTTTCAAAAGTCTAACCAAAAATACAGGCAAATGAATTTTTACAATGTATACAATGAGCCCTCAATAAAAGCCTGGTAACTTGTCACTTTGATTTTCAGGACTTGTTTCACTGGTAATGTCTTAAAACAGAAGTTACTGGCTACTGGCATGTAAAAATGTTTGAGAGTGCAAAGGTAGATGTAAACTCAAAATAGTGGAATATTCTATGAAATCTTTTAACATCTCATCTTATTTAGTCCAGTCCTTAACATAGGAATTATTGAGCATTTATTAAACACTGTGTTTTATATGGAAGTGATCAAAACAGACCATCAGATTGAAACATAGTTGAAACTTAACAAAGATAAGAAAAGTATATGTTGATCAGAGGTAAGAGAAGATAGAGAAATGTTTATAAGGAGAAATTTTATAGCAAGTGATATATCTATCTGGAATACAGCAATTGCATTGGTGGAATTCTCCTCTGAATAAAAAGATTTCAGTGTGAACAGATTGCCTCCAAAGGGCACTGGGGTTTTGGTCAAAAATAACAACTACACAACAGAGCAGCAAAGTGAAAACCACATGTTCTACCAGGCAGGAGGTGGGGGCTGTACATTAAGGCACAGGTGATGTCAGGCCAAAGCTGATGATGTTCTGCCCTGGCTCCTACTAAGGTCAGAGTCATACAGGTGCATTGGCAAGGCCACTTAGGCAGCAGGTCTTTGTGCAAGCCACAGGAGCCAAGAACAAAGTCAGGCGAAGACAACATTTTCCTTAAGAAACTGCAGATATTCATCATACTGTTCAAGAAATGGGTACAAACAAGTTTGTAAATGCATCAGCAGAAACTCTTGTGTTCCTACCAAAGGTCAGGGTGAAATTTCTTTGGAGACTAGAAGGTTAGATATTAGGGAGGTATATCATTCTTTGATATAATTCTTTCTTTTTTTTGTCCTGTTAAGGGACCTATTGTATCAGGTCTCTGATCTTCCCTCACTGAATTAAGCATTTCTTGCTTCTACATACATATTGTCTTGAAAGTTGATGTAAGTTGAACTCTGTAGTCCCTCAACAGTGAGCTGCAGGGTCAAAGCACAGGCTTCCCGTGCAGGGAGGATTGCATCTGGATTCTGAATTTGCCACTTGATCGCTGTGTGTCCTTTGGCAAATTACTTGCCATTCCCAAGCCTTACTAATTTTCTCATTTTCCTTACAATATTGTTAGGATTAGAGGACATGGATTTTTAACATGATGAACAGGGTGCCTGGAATATAGAAGGAACTTACAAGATGTTAGCACTAATTAATTTGGAACACACTAGTTACCTATCAGGTTGAAAGAATCGAACATGTTTTGGGGTGTCTAACCCATCCAGGACTCCAAGAATGACTTAGCACCAGGGATGAAACTTAGCAGCGAAAGCAACAGAATGTTTTAAGAAACTTCACCATCAAGCTTCCAGGCACCCCAGTGTTTGCTGAATTGATTCCAAATGCTTATTTAGGGGAGGTAACCAAAGGAATTCTAGAGTTTTAAACAAACAGGCAGCATTATAAACATCATTCATGCTGCAGATCATACATATCAGTTTCATAAATTCTTTTTTTTTTTTTTTGGTGGAGACAGAGTCTCCCTCTATCCCCCAGGCTGGAGTGCAGTGGTGCTATCTTGGTTCACTGCAACCTCCTCCTCCCAGGTTCAAGCGATTCTCCTGCTACAGCCTCCCAAGTAGCTGGGATTACAGACACCTGCCATGATGTCCAGCTAATTTTTTGTATATTTAGTAGAGGCAGGGTTTCGCCATGTTGGTCAGGCTGGTCTCCAAATCCTGACCTCCCGTAATCTAATTATAGGTGAGAGGCACTGCACCCTGCCCTCAAATTTATTTTATGTGCAAGAAGAAGCACCAGGAGCAGAGGCCTAATTCTCCCCCAGAGCACTTTGTTTTGATCTCATTTCTTCTCAGGACGTTTAGTTAAACTAGACACCACAGTCTTACTTTATAGAGGGGGGACTTGTCACAGGAATAATAGGGACCACCTTCTAGGATACAGGGAAGGGCAGTGGTCAGATGGTCTCTACGAATAAGAACTCTCTTGTTCATTAATTATTTAGCAGATAAAGAGCTTTATTAGAATCAGAAAGTGTCCCCTATGGTCTGATTGTTTTTCCTACCCAGGAGAACTGATGTTAAGTTATCCCACTTTTTTATTTGCACATACTTCGGAATGTCCCACTAACAGATGAGGACTTATTTAAAAATGTAATCCCAATGCCAGGATCATACCTAAAAACAATCCCTTCCTACTGTACAGTCAGAGCCCAGATTTCCCCAAGTGTCTCACAAATATTACTTTGCTGTTAGGCTTTTTTGAATCAAGAAGACACAGAGAAAAACCACACCCTACCTTTGGTCAACGTATTCCTTCTTTTTCCTTCCTTGTCATTTTTGTTGTTGTTGAAGACATTGAGCCAGTTATCTCATTTGTTAGATATGGCTGGACAATGGCAGGTATGAAATGGGTACTTTTACGGCTTTGAATCAATTTCTGAATATGCTGTTTAATGAATGATGTTTTTTCTTATCTCTTATTGCAAAGCCTCTCACACCCTGCTGATTCCCTCTGGCTCTGTCTCCTGCCTGGAGTTTGAGTATCACAGTGGGTCCTGCGTTCTCGCTGCTTCCTGTCTCTCACTCATCACCTGTGTCATCTCCTAGGTCTCAACTCCAGGAGTGCAGCCTGTCTCTACAGTAGCCCTCTGCAGCTGCCTTGACCAGGTAAAGCCCCCTAGTATGTACATCTCATTGTGTCATGTGCCTTCACTTCATATCATTTTTCAGGGTCATCATCTTACTTTTATTTGTGTGAGTCATTGTTTGATATCTATTTTTCCTTCCACCCTACTCATGTCCCATGGTGTTTTGACAGCGTCTTATTTTCATCATTGTATTCTCAGTATTTAGCACCGTGCTTGCCATATGGTAAAGGCTCAAGGAGTATTTGTGGAATGAAGAGATACACTGTCTATAGGCTTTAAAAAGTATCTACACAATCCTGCATATATAAGATACAGATATAATTTTACATTCCACCCTCTGCCTCTGTGACTTCCTCCACATTTAAATGTCTGCATTTATATAACTCTCACAATGGCCTTGGATAACGTGTCCGTGTTGAACCATGAAATTTTCAGTCTATCTAAGTGGGTTCGGTGCTCACCATCTGTCCTCCCATGCTGATGGTAGTCATCTCTTAGTTGTTGGCTTTAGTCCCTAAGATGTTTCTTCAAGGAGGGCTGATGAGCGCAGTGGTCCACAACACATTTAAAAATACCTGAACGTTGTGATGGTGTTCAGCAAAATGCTACTGCAAAATATGACACCTTGGCACTTGAGAAATGGCAGAAGCAGAAAGGTTACCCTCAGTTCCCTGCCCCCTTCTCCCCTGAAGCAGATTGTAAAACCTAGGAAGGATTTTCCGGCCTTTGCCTGAAGCAGGTTGTAAGGCCTTTATGTGAGAGGTGCTCTCTCTATACCGGAAAAAAAGGAAAATCCTTATCTCTGAGGACAAAGGGACACAGAGAAAAATCTGAGCACGCAGGCCTTGCTAAGTTTCTCCTAGTTTACTGCCATTAGGTTATACTCCTTTGTCTATTTGTTTTCTCCTTGATGGTTCACTCCTCAAATGTTGCATAAAAATACACAACTTTAACTGTTTTTGTGAGCCTGCATTTCCTTGTGAAGGCTCCCAAGTCCTGGAAAGCTTTTATTAAATACACTTTTCTCTTGTTAGTCTTTTGTTATGGGGACTTCAGCCGTGAACCCAGCTATGGGTGAGGAGAAGATATTTTTCTTCCCTTGTCTTTATACTTGAATGATAGCTTGGTTGGGAAGAAAATGATTGAGTTATGTGTGTCAGACAATTAGGAAGAATATCAAGATTTCAGTTTATGTGTGCGTGTGTGTGTGTGTGTGTGTGTGTGTGTGTGTGTGTCAGAGAAACAGTCTATTTCAATGACCTTCTAGTAGGCTTTATAATTCAAAATATTTCTAGTCTCAGTGCTTTACATGGAGATAAAATGGAGTCTTTCATTGCAGTCTTTGCAATGAATTAAATCAATGGTTGAATTGAAATATAAAAACTTTCTGTTTATCTCTGTTCTATACTATCATTTTTGTTCTTGATATGTATGTTAGAGTAGGCTGATAGCTAGACATGAGCAGGAGGGGGAGGATGCCTCACACCCGAGGGACCACCCAAAACCTGCATGCTGATAACACTTGTAATGCTGGAGTGAGCCAGCAGTTAGATGTGGGGAGAAAGAAGGGGAGATACCTACACAGAAAGGAACGCCCCAAAACACCCTGTAATCGTTCACTCTGCAGTTACTCTGTCGGAATGTAGCTAGTCGCATCCTGATAAAAAGGGAAAAAGGACAAAGGGAAAATTCCTAAGAGACATCCTAGGGCAATAAGTACAGGTTTGACCTCCATAGACCTTCCTGGGGTGGTGGCCATGAGCAAGGCTGCCCTTAGGAAGGATTCCTAACCAACACCAGCTCATTGGTGCATGTGCATCAACTGATGGAAAGGGGGAATCCACAGTCGCTGGGCGGGAAACTAGGCTGGGGGAAAAGGCGGAGACTTAAGACAGAAGCAGGAACTGAAGTTTTGAACAGTCCCTCATAATAAAAACCGCTCTGTGGCTCATGCTTATAATTCCAGCACTTTGGGAGGCTGAGGCCATCGGATTGCCTAAGCTCAGGAGTTCGAGACCAGCCTGGGCAACAAGGTGAAACCTTGACTCTACAAAACACAAAAAATTAGCCAGGCGTGGCAGCGAGTGCCTGTAGTTCGAGTTACTTGGGAGGCTGAGGCAGGAGAATTGCTTGAACCCGGGAGGCGGAGGTTGCTATCAGCACAGATCGCGCCACTGTACTCCAGCCTGAGTGACAGAGCAAGACTCTGTCTCAAAACAGAACTAAACAAAAACCACAACCCAGGGCTCTCGCGGCTGTTCCCAGCCTGGTCAGCCTGCTCCTCTCTTGCAGTATTCTTTTATTTCCTTAGTAAGCCTTTTGCTTACTTCACTAATTGGTCTCTTGGCCAAATTCTTTCCTCCAAGAAGACTAAGAACTGAGGGCCCCACACTTCTTAATAACATGTAGCTTAAATCAAAAGAATTAATATAAGGGGAGGATTGAAACATTATGTTGTTATTTATCCCAGAAATTCCAATCCTAGTTTTGTACCCTAGAGAAATGTTCACACATATGCTAAAAGAACTATATCAAAGAAGGTTTATTTCAACATTGTTTACAAGGGCTTAAAATGGGGAAACAAGCTAAATATCTCAGCAGGATGATTAATTACTGTTTATTCATGTAATGTAATATTACAAATCAGTGAAAATAATGAGCCAAAGCCAGACATTGAAAATATAGATAAATTTCACTTATGTGTTGAATTTAAAAGAGAAAATTTTAAAAAAGGGATATTATACCTTGTATATGAATATGGAGAAATGTACCATGGACAGACAATGACAAATACCAAATTCTAACGAGCTGGGAGTGAGAGCCCTGGGGAAGGGCTGAGGAAGGAGGGAATGCAGTTGAGCAAAGGCAGGTATGTGGGGCTTTCCATGTATTTGTATCATTTTATGCATCTTTTAGTGTTAAATCATTTAATAGTACTAAAGAAAGCTATGTTGTTGAGTAAAAGTTAACCTCTGATAATTAAAGCTATCTCATTATTTTTTACTAAAGCGTGCAGCGGCCCAACACTTCATAAAACTTGCCCACCCATGTTGTATTCTTATCTCTTTCCCACTTTTCTCTGATTCCTTTCATAACTCTTCCTTCCTTTCTTCCGGTTGATGCATCTAAAAATTAGATGTATGTTCTATCTATCTATTGACTGATCTATCTCTTCTCTCTATATCCATCAATTCATATATCTATGTCTATCTAATTTATGTGTCTGTTCATCCATCCATCCCACTCACCCATCCATCCATCCACCCACCCATCTCTCTATCTCTTTCTCTCTATTCATCGACTCAGCAATCTCTCCAGCATGTATCTATCTACATGTATATCTCTATTGAGAACTGCTGATTTACTCTACTGATGCCAGGTTTGACATAAATCCCTCTCTCTGGCAGAACCAGTTCTGAAATGCTTTGAACTTGAGAAAAGCTCCCTCAAAAAAGAGGAGGAGGGGAAGCATAATCCCAATAGCTGTGTAAGAGACCAGCACTAGTTAACACTGAGGTTCTCAGCTCTGCTGAGCCTTTGAGTTCTATTCTGAGCAAGAGAAGCTGCCAGAGATCCCTATGATTTACTTTCAGTTGCCAGAGGCAAGCCACTGATGGTTATCTTTTATACTGTTATTTATTGCTTGCTGATCTTTCTTAGAAGACCGTCACTTTAATGTTTTCATTTCAGGCCTCATGCACAGCTTCCACACTGTGACTGCTGAGAAGCTGTTCATTCCTCAGACATCTCACCTTATGCTAGAAGTGAGATTGATGTTGGGTCTGAAGGAAAAATAGGAGAAAATGAATCCTACACAATGTGTGATTTTTTTTTTTTTTTTTTTTTTTTTTTTTTTTTTGCCCAGAGTTCCCTAGAGAGTAGCAGCTAAATGGTTACTTGCTGTCTCTTTGAGGTATTATTAAAAGTGATTATCTGGGGGGAATGGATTGTTACTGTATCGAGAAGAGTGAACAAAATGTTTAGTTTTCCTCTGCATTTGAACATGTGACACATCAGGGTGATATGGTGACTCAGCTGCCTGGGACGCCCTGCACAGGCAGCACACATCGGCACAGGGTGGGGCGGTGAAACAAGCAGGCTAGGATACCACTTGTGCCTGACCCAAAGCAAGAAATGTCAGGTAGCGGGCTTTATTCTGCAAATTTTGAATATGTTTTTGCCTGGTGCAGTTGAATACATGTACTAGAAATCTATACAGAGGCGTCATCTGTAGGGTCTCAGAAAATAACACCCCCAAAATGAGGGCTTCAGGAGCAGCTCTCCCTCTGGCCTTCGCCTTCCCTTGTGTCTCTCACCCTTCATTCTCCCCAGATTGAACCGTGGAAACTAGAGCTTACTCTCTTCCTCAAGGCAGGTCACAGAAACCAGAACCCCTTTTCTCCAAAGCCAGACATAACCTAAAAATATTACCGTAACTTCCCCTCTGCCTTTCTGTGTAAAAACTGGCCGTGAAGAAATGATCTGACCATCTTGTTTGATTGTAGGTCATAGGACCCTCATTCCAGAGAAGGTCCTGCCCCAAATCCAGAAAGTGTCAATTAAAGAAAGCAAACAAACACACAAACAAAACCCAAAAATAAGCTTTTAAAGAATTGGGTCGAGCACAGTGACTCATGCCTGTAATCCCAGTACTTTGGGAGGCTGAATGAAAGGATCACTGGAGCCCAGGAGTTTGAGACCAGCAGGGGCAGCATAGTGGGACGCTGTCTCTGCAAAAAATACAAAAATCAGCCAGGCATGGTGGTGCACACCTGAAGTCCCAGCTACTCAGGAGCCTGAGGTGAGAGGATTGCTTGAGTCCAAGAGGTCGTGGCTGCAGTGAGCCATGATGTTACCGCAGTACTCCAGCCTGGGTGGCAGAGTGAGACCCTGTCTCAAAAAATACAAAAAATTAAGTTAAAGTTGATTCTATTCAGGAGTCTTACTGAGAACTGTAGGCAGAGGCCTATAGCCAGGGAGCAGTTCTGGGAGAGAGCTTTGGCCATGTTTTAGCCACTG